TTGGTCGGGTTTTAATAAGCGGATTGTGAGCAGGATTATGGCTTGTATAGCAATTTTGTTGTTCTAAGTCTGAATCGTGATGCAATCTGATATTCGCCGACTTTGCGCTTGCAGGAAATATTTCGGTATTAAACTACTTGCTTATTAATGTAACATTAGATTTATAGTTTCGAGCCGTAATGGATTAATGGCGACATTTGGTTATTTCTTATTATTTGTAATATGTATATTATGTTCTATTATTTCTACGTATTATGTCAACTTTAAAGGTAGAAGATACGCTAATATAATATATGTAAATACGAATATGATATCTTGATGTGAACTAATTTAGGTACCTTTTTTTTATTTGTTGACGGGGTTTAATATCCCTTCGGATCTAAGGCCCCTTGGGGATGTAGGAGCCAGGAGTATGTGGTGTTTCCACTAAAAACCACCCCGACGGCCGGACTCAGGGGCCCTACTCCGAGGAGGACCCGGACCATGTTTTTTCAGGCCCCCCCCGGATCGATGCCCTATCCCGGGCTTCCCCCACCTATCGGCCCAATTCTTATAATATGTTGTTTTGCGATCGCATTTTGGCGGCCAGGCCACCATCCTATCGCCTACCGCAGATTGCCGATTTACCGCCTATTGTTTCAATTAAAGCATGATGTTACAGTTGTTCCGATTCAAAGTTAAGGTGTCAAAAAATGTGCCTGCAGTATGATTTTGTTGTAAAAAGTTATTGATAAATAAATTGCTCAATATTAGCAGTTGAAGTTATGTCCCGTGATAGTGTACAGGTTAGGATTGAGTAAGTAATATTTCTAAATAAAACTTTTCAGAATAGAATACTGTAAAATAGATATATAGTAGAAGTAGAAGGGTAGGCAAATTGTGACCTTGTGAAAATGTTTTTATGCATAAGGCATATTTCTTCTTTCTTCTTACTTCACTTAATAGTTTCTGGACAACATAATAGTTTCCTTAGATTTTTATTAATTATCTAAGATATTTAAGATGTATCATCATACACCTCTATTTCGTACGATCGTTGGTGCAAGCTTATACTTAATAATTGCTAAATAAAATAAATGCTTAGAGTCAGGTGCGAATCATACAAGTACTTAGGTACAACAAATCTATATTATGTAGTAGTTGGTTTGTGTACGCTTTAAAAATTCAAAAACTTCTGCACCGATAGAGCTGCTATTTTAACACGATATACAATCAACCTTTAAAAATGGTTTTTAAATATTTTTTGCAACCACAGTGTGTCACAGCGAAGTTGGCTGGGTACAGCTAGTTCATTATAAAATTACTACACATATGTGTATGTAAAACAAATAACAAGAACATGTCATTGTATAATATAGGGCAGAAAATTCTCAAACTCTTGTAGATTTTTATTCATAAAAATAAATTCGTGTTTTTAATACAAACAGACTTAAACTAGTCACAGGAAGATCGTTCGTCTTAACAACTGTAATAATTGTAAAAACAGTTAAAATTTTAAATGTCAAATTATTAGGTAATTTTAGGCAGTTAAAATTTAAACGCAAGAACAATAACATATAAGTACTTGATGTTCCCTGCGAATCCACAGTGTATAGGCACGGTTACTGTTTATGCATAATGGTACCGCTGTGTAGATAGAGTAGAAGTGGATAATAAATGGTGTATCAATATTTCTTCAATTTAGACTGGCAGATTCACGAAATAGTGCGTTGAAACAAAGATGTTAACGAAATATTGAAATCTATAATTTTAGAAGTTATACCTACATTAGGAGATGGATTCACTATAAAAAAGCGTCCATCGTTTTGATTTCTGCCACTTCTTGAAGTTACTTAGTTGAACTGCATACCTACCTATTGTTGTTAATGTCTAATCATATTTATCTATTAGGTATATTAAATAGTCGTAATTGCTGAAAAATCATATGTCATGAGACTTGTAATTTCAAAATAAAATCTATAAATTTGAAAGGATATCTATAATTCAGAAAGGGGATTGTTCAATCAATTTTGGAACTTAGTGTCGCTACAAAGATCTTTGTGTCAAGAAAACTTTCGCATTTATAATATTAGTATGGATGTCTAAAATAAGAATTTAAAAGCAGTAGCTATAACTTTATTTCAAAAGGTATTCCGCTAGAAAAGGAGGCTTTTAAATATACGCCTACACAGAAAATGTTGACTTTGAAAACCAAAATAATAGTTCTAAAATATTTCAAAGAGACATGCGTACCTAATGCCTTCAACAATAAAAGTGCTCAAACTTCAAACAATTCCCATAAGACCGCTCACACAAACATGTTTCAGAAACTTTCTAAGCAGCGTATAAATAACGTTCGATAAAGCTCAAATTGGTCTCATCTCCTTGAAAGCCTTAACGGCGTAAGCGCCGGCCACGCCGTGACTTGTCCGATCGATGAAAGTACTCTTTGTTTGCCGTATATACAAGCCGAATTCGCATCACATCGCCGAAAAACGCAAACTGAGATAAACAACCTCCCCCCCCCGGAGAGGTCGTAAGTGTATCGTTTTACCGGACAATTTTCGTCTTTAATAAGAACTGTTAAGGCGCGTTTTTGGACGAATCTCCTCGAATAACAATTGAATCAGTTCACGCAGCATCAAATCACTAAACCACTGGGCGGAGCGTACTCAGACTCCACCGGGGGACGGCGAAACAGGGACGGAAGAGGAATGCTCTGTCGTGTCTTTAGCTATAGGTTAGAAAGAGATCAGCATATTGTCTGAGTGGTCTCGACTTCAGATGTGAGTCCAAATTGGGTGCGCTCTGAGAGCTTTTTGTTTGTAGCCTGTGGCTGCAATAAAAAGAATAGTGTCACTGAGCAGATTGCCTCTCATTCAGCGCTTGACAATTAAATAAGTGCTCTCGAGTGACGTACATTAAGAGCGAGCCGTCATAATAACATGATAAATGAGAGAGCAGCTTTCTATCGATCATTTGTCAGCTACTGATAATTAAAGTGCAGCATTTAAATTAGGATCGAGTTTAATACGGCTTAAAGTGTTATAGCTATTCTTGAAACCTAAACTTTATTATTATTAAATTAGACTCCTGGGTTTATTGTGTCGAGAATATATCAACAACTTAGATTAATTCAAATGGGGTTCACTAAAATGGGGGTCAAAATTAAAAAAAAAACAAATTATTTAACGAATGACAGACCACAAAACACGTGAACTTCCCTCATTTGCATTTAATAAAATTAAATGATCCATTTATAGAAATTAATTAATGAGGGAACCAGTGAAGCGTCCGCTTTACAACCACGATGGGGCAAGGACGCGCGGCTCCTGACAATGGGCGCGCTCTCCGCGACTAATAATACCAATGATAATGCACGATACTTGTACTCCCTACAAATTAATAAAAACTTCACTCAATGACAATAACCAACCACTTCTGAAGTAATCGAGAACCCCAGAACGAAATTAAATTAAATTTTTGAAAGGGGATGCGTTTGTTTATTTGACGAATATAATTGCGGTAAATAAATGCGAATACTTTCATTTTCTTTTTTTATAAGTTAAAATTAGTAATTGCATTAATAGTATAATATTTTTGTAAAATATATTTTGTGGGTTTCCCTCACCTGCAATGTTTTTGAGTATTATCATTACGATAATCTCTAATGCCGAACATTGGTAATTGGTTTTTATTTTGAACAAACAATTAAATGTAGGTACTTAATTTATGGAATAAAGCGCCTACGTAATGAAATCAAGTACGAATATGCAATGGCATCGATGATAAATTGTAGAGCTCTTTTCCTGACAAATATTACCTAAGCATCATTTTGTTTTCAATGTTATTAGACATTTGTCAATACTAAAGCAAAATAATTTGGTAAAAAAACAGATACTGAGGTTTCAGCACATTAACTATTTTGTTAAGCTTCTTACAATTTGAACAAAATACACGTATTTTATTGGAGACACCCCTGATACAGGCCGGGTTACAATATTTTTTAAATTGTACCTATTTATCTGCACTAATATAAAATATTAGATATCCTTGAAATAGTATTAAACCTTCACAAGGTGACACACACGAGATGTCATTAAACTTTTTGCAAAATAACGACATTGTAGGAGACAGAGCAATTGTAAGCCAGAGCAATATACACGCGGCATTGTGGCTTAATTTATATCAGCTCACCCTTTCCCAAGCGAATCAAATAAATCAAATTAAAGTACTCGTCCACGCTTCAGCGCTCTCACTAGTGCCCAAGACGTTTTGTCAAATTTATTATTTTATTTATATTTTTTATTAGTGGTTTGAATACGGTATCTTTATTGTTGTCTCGAGTGCACTGTGACAAATTTGATGACGATTGGGGTCACGTTCTGAGGGCATCTGATCTATTGCTGTAGGGTACGTAAACGGTAGTTCACAGAATTTTAGAGTCGATTTAAGTTTGTAATGTGGCATAAATCGTTTTTGTGTGCTTATGGGATTCGCGTAACGATTTATTTCAACTACTAATGGACTGTGAACATTTTGTCATTCGTGTTTTTTTTCTGATGTCGTTGGTTTAACTTTCAATGTTTAATTTAACCTTAATACTTTACGAAACTCGTATAAATCACTTTTATTATCGAACTTGTAAATCCCTATGTTAAAAGTCTCAGTCGAATTCGATGACATAATTGTTTTAAAAGTAACTGGTAAAAATCCACGCAATCTTGTTGTACTATTTTATCATCTTACTGAGACTGTCAATATAATTAAAGAATAAGTAGTCCTCATTTTTGACGAATTACAAATTTATTCGATTTGTAGAAATTCATCCCAACAAGGTCGAAAATTCTGTTATCAGAAAATTCTGTTATAGTCTCGAAATTAACTAAACACTTACCTATACCTATATAGGTTTAATGACGAAGTAGTACTTACTGCTTAATAAACTTCTTATGATATGTATCTATTTATATACGTATGTAGTGAAGATTACTATTTCATCACATCTTTTTGTCCAACAGAACAAAATGGAAAAGGCAGACGGCTGTAGGTTTGGAACTACTAGCGGAAGCTGGTAACTACGCAGCATTCCAGCGGTTATATGGTGGCTACTGGCCTGGTGTACCAGCGTACCCTGCCCAGCCTGCACCAGCTGCTGACCTGTATTATCGACAAGCTGCTGCAACAGCTGCTGCCGCCGCTACAGCTACTGCTAATACATTGCAGAAGCCATTGCCTTATCGGTAAGCTTTTCCCTTTTTAAAAGTAATTATGCACACATATTTAACGTTTTTTTTTTAAGATAACGTTCAAAATATAGATATTATGTCATAATGAAGATGTAATCATTTAAACATAAGTACATGACTATGGGAAAAATAGCTACTGAAGTGGGATCTTAGTGATTGCACGATCAGAATACAAAGTTAATGCACTTTTAAGGCCTTTTTTATACTTTGAGACATATACCTAACATATAACAGCGACACGAAGTATTTCACATCTCATTTTACCCTAGCTTAAAGAAATCTTAATTTTGATATTAATTTCCATTTAGGTTATATCCAGGCGCGCCCTTAGGCGGTGTACCACCTCTGGGACTTGGACTACCAGGTCCGTCTGCGCATCTGGGTGGGCTTGGTGCTCCGGCGCTGGGGGCTCTAGGGTACTACGCGCATGCACGGCGTTCTCCTTCGCCTGATCTCGATCCTGGCAGCCCAGCGCCTCCGCACCGCTCTTCTCCTCATACCCCTCACACTCCACACACACCTGTGGATAGACCTTCTGACGACGACGATGATGAACCCATACACGTCTAATGTGAAATAATTTTTTCCAAAAGTGAGTTTTACTTGTGCATTATCGGACTTTTCTCAACAAAAAGTGACTTTTCATGCAAAGCGGATTTAAGTGAACAATAATAGAGTTAAAAAGAATATAGTGACAAAGACTCAGTGATAAAAAAGACACTCATCTTGTTTCATATGTGCTTTTAATGTGAAGGCGACTGAATAACGTTTGTTTAAGCATTCAGTTGCGTATGGGTTCTGTGGATTGGATGATCGCCAGCTGTACTTTTATTTTGCACTAAATTCGAAATTCCTGTATTTAACATTTCGAATATTTCCTTGAGACGGACACCGACTGTCCGTGATATGTGATATTATAAGCCCAGATTTGATATTAAGAACGTGTAAAATATAATTGATGTCGTGTTAACTACTTATTCATAGCTAGTGATTAGATAAAGCTTTGTAAGTTACAATAGGAAGTATATACGCTGGAATCAGATACATTCCGTTATTGATTATTTTATATTTAAGAGAATTTCTGAAACAGTGTGCTTCAGTGTTGCATCCTTCAACATGTTACAGTGATCCAGTAAATAAAAAATAATTTCAAATTATTTTAAAAGTTCCAATAATAGGTTTTCTTTTAAATTTTAGGTTTATAATTATGTTGGTGTTTGACATAAATTAAAGTATTGTACTTTAAATCTATGTCACTTTCCATTATATTTATTTAAATTTATAATCTCTATTGTCACAAAACATTATGTATGCCACCAATCTTTTCGTTACCTGTACCTATTTATTGTACAATTATTACCTGACAAAAATAAAACTTTGTGCAATTTTAATATAACTTGCAAACGTGTAAATGTCTTCATTTTCTGATAAGTAATAAGATGTAATACTGACGACGTGCTGTAGGTATTTATAGATCGGAACACTCGGTCACCAACCATGTGCAAAGATACTGTATATTATAATATAAATATATAACTATTATATACGTTGTATGTATTGTTAGTATTAAATACACAACTTAAAGTGTTAAATGTATGAAGTACATATGTATATGGAGTACCTAATGCTATAGTAATGACCCGGCGATGTACTTAAGCAATCCGAAGTGTGACATTCCATGTCTCATAGATTTTGTGGTGTTTTGTAATTAAAATGTTGTCAATTAAAAATAGCAATGGTTTTTTTTTCATTTTCCCACTTTTAAAAAATATTTTTGTGACTCAATAACTGGGCTGTATCTAATAGCTATTTACATTACATGTAAATTCTTCATAACAGTAAAATATGTTTTTTATTATTTATTATTTAAGCTGAATAAAAATAAAATATTTACAAACATAAATTTAAACTTTAGATTAGGTAAGTATTCAAACTAACTACAATAACGCTGAAATAATTTATCCCAGTAATTTACATATTTTATTTGATAATGAATGCAGCTTTTTATGAAAATTTTCATTAACTGTTCTAAACAATTAATACTGCCTTACGTTAAATAATAATATTTCTTTTGGTATACGTATGAACTTCGAATAGTTAAACTTGCGAGACAAGATATCTTATGCAAAACTGTGACGTGAGACGGTTTTATATAGTAGTCACTAAACTAACAATGTTTTACTACCTACTACATAAAATTATAGAAGTTTTAATGAGACACCATAATGAGCAGTACAAAGTGGGTTTTACAGTAAGTCGATGTCGATTCGTGACTACGACCTAGTGCTATTATATCCAAACGTCGCTTAAACAAAAAGATCGTGTCGTATTAATATTACTGCGATTTAATACTGATCTGTAAGTTTAAAAAAAAGTAAAACAAGATCTTTTAAGTAATATTGTATACACTAATGAATAGTCAAGAGCGAAGAATCCGGATCATTAGGAAAGGCTTGAAAATCTCGGAATCTCAAATCTTCAATATAATGAGTATTGCTTATAATCCTTAAGTGAAAGCTTGCTTTGTATTACTAGGTTCCTTAAATAATATTGGAGAATATGATCCTAATCGGTTAAAGATTTCGATATCTTACACATTGTCCTAGCGAGTCCTCGTCTGGTTGCGGTTGCACAAATCGCTAGGTAGGTACCTACCTAATCCATTCTGTTAATTCACCTCTTGAATGTAGACATATTCACAATGCATTCTGGGTTTATTGCTCTTTAGTGTGTGTTTAGTGTATCCAATTACCAAATCTATATGTTTACATACATACTGCATCATTCTTAATTTTAAGATGGTGGTGCAAGGTGCAATGTTCACAAGCTGAAAGACAATGTTTCTTCTATTACCTACAACAAGAACAACAGTTTTATAGTACATATTTATTCTCGTGAAAAAGCTACAACAGTTTCTTTATTAAAAGGAGTTTTTACACCGCTATTACGTATGACAGCGCTTTTGTGAGAAACTATCTGAAGTTGTCATATGCAGTTTTATTCATATAAAAGTTTAATTTACCTTATATCTTTAACTAAACAGAAGCAAACAATCTTTGCTTGAAGATTAATTTGAAACAGTAAATAAAACAGCATTAAATACATTGTTACGGGCAGTGGAACAGTTGTAACGAACACCTTGGGGCAGCCATACCGCGAGCTAACTCCGCTTTGTCACGCCATCACGCCGGCTCAGACTCGGTTAATAGGCCTGTGTTCAATTGTGTGTGCTATCTCCATTTGCAACCGCTCCATTAGGGCTGCTACAAGTATGAGGCCACGTAGATATGAACCAGTTTATGTGCAAAGTCGTCTTAAGATTCTATGGCTTTCAAGTATTGTTGGTAAAAAATTAAAACTCATTTTAGACAACCTTGCAGTTTAAATTAGTGTCAGTATCTAATAACTTAATTAGTTTAACATTTTTTTCGGTAAAGTTTTTATACCTGAAGGACGAGTAAGTTACTTAATACTTCAGGAAGACAAAATATGTCAATGTTTTTATTCGCCTTTATTATAAATTTACTAAAATATTTTAGTAACGAAATTTAATGAAATTAGTCATTCATTTTTATCCAGTTTGATGATTGGTTTATATGTTTGTTTATGTAACAAAGATCGCTTCAAGTAATTAAAAAGTCGTAAGAGTTCCTACCTACCTGCGAGTCACGGTCGTCACGCCAGATTCGCGTTTTATAAAACAACTTGTCCTCGATCGCGTTTACACAATCGGCCCTCACGAAAACTTCTCTTTGATTTCCTTCGAAACATTTTTAGCGGGCATAAAACCTATTTAAAAAGCAATCAGTCAGAGGTCGCTGATTGCCCACGGGGCACGCCACCAGCCGTGTTCACAAAACGGAGCAATTAACAACACCCCTGCGCCTCCACCACACAGTCCCCCCAACTTACCTCCTGCACAGATCTAATCGCAAAACGACCGTTTTCTAGAATCGCCTTTACAAACTATTGCGTGTTTCAACGCGTCGAGTCGAGGTAACGCAGTGGTCAAACTTAACTACGATCATGTATTGTTCCAAACATAAATTTGATTTATTCGACAGTCTATCTCCACCATAAGTTATTGCAAGCACGTCAACTATAGGATCCGTGAGCTGATACTCCTCGATTGTTATCAGTACCTGCGATTTACATAATACTGATTGTAAAGTTTCAAAATGTAAAATAAGTTCTTGTGATTCTTTTTACAAGCTTATTAACCAACTTTAAAAATTCGTGTAATCATTTTTACTGTGTGTTGGAAGTGCAAAATATTCATATTGTGCAACTTTTCTGTTAATGAAGAAATATTATTTATTAACAGAAAAGTTCATGAATAAAAACATTTCTCACAATCTTTTAATATTAGATTGAGTCTAATTTTACTAGTAGTCCTATTTGAGTCAAGATTTTTAACAAAGTAATTTTCTTTCTTCTTCCGGATGTACAGAACCTTAAAAATTATAACTAGTGATTAAAGTAAAGGCATTTTTATGAAATAGTCGAATGCCTCGAATCATTTGGATCGTTTAAAGTCAACGATATTACAGGCTAAACACGCTCAATAAATTATAAGCTATAACTATAAGCTGTTTACCTTAAGAAAACAATAGCTTACAACAAAAACGTCTTAACTCATGTAATAATGGGGAATAAATGCAAACCATGTCCATTTATTACACATACTTACGTAGGAACAAGGCGTTACATAAAAAACTAGACTGTTTACTATCACGCCAGTCGACACACACTCCTACTGTATTAATATTTATGCTGTTTAAACGATGTTTAATCACAACAGACACGAATAGTTTTTGCTGTAAGTTGTAGTGAAATGAATATTTTCCGATTGTAATCAATATCTGACTAAAACATGAAATCACTGCGCTAAATTGACGACATGAAATGTTTTGAGCTTTCAAAATTGATAACATCGTTTGAAAGGCAACATTTGAACTATAAAACCATCTTGATTTGTTTACATTTGCCGCGCGTTTAGACATGCCTATAGTTTATTTTATAACGACCCTGATCCGGATTACAATGTGGTTGAATTCCAAAACAATAATTTATGATATTGCTAATTGATTGAATATGACAATTAAATGCAAAATTGTAAGGCCCATAAAACTCAGATTCAGATAATTTAATTTAAAGAATTAACCAACAAAGTACCTTTTATCCTAACGCTAGCTATACTTTAGTAAGTCTAAAACACTGTCAGTAAAACCAAAAAAACAAACTCTCCACTTTTATGATACCTACCAACGTATTACGTTCAGAGATCTACATATCTCTGAGTCTGAAAATGAAAGAATAAAATATTATGGTTACTGAAACAACTTCCTCGAGTTGCGTTGTAGATTGTAAATGCCGTTAAAAGATTGTTTAATTAAGTGAGTTATGACCGATACTTCCTCAATTCGCGTAATATTTAACATTATATTGGTACTCACCCACCTGCTAATGTTTCCTGCGCTTTGATAACTACTCAGTTAACAAAGCAAAATACGTTTCACTTGAGATCCATTGCAATCGTTGAGTACTAATATAATGCCCGATAATGAGTG